TACTCGTGTTTCGTATTGTCGGCGTGAAATCAATAATTAAGCACTTGCAGTTTAAAATACGCAGATTTATGTATTTGCAAAAATTAGCAATTTTTTTTACCAAAATTCAAGCTCTGTCCGTTTTAATCTCTAAACGTACAAACCATCCTTACATTGATTGCCAAATAAATACAATAAATTTTCTTTATTAACTTACATGCTGTAAGTACGGATGCGTCCAATTGTTCTTACATTTTACATGGTATCGCTCATACATTGTGTAGAACTTTGAGGCATCGAGATACTCATCAAATTCTGATTTCCTTGTTAAATCCGGCATTGGCGGTAGGAAGAACAACCTAGCGAAGCATTTCCACTGAAATTTCGTCCTTGTCGAGATATCCCGATACGGGATGATTATATTCCTCTCCTCCGACGCGTCAAAAGCCTCCCTCTCTGGGCGGGACGCATATTCGTACGGGTAAAACATGTAGAAAGGTTTATCATCAGAACTCTGCACGGTGAAAACGACTGACCGTATCAAAATCAGGGGAACCTTGACGTCAGAATTTTGAATTAGATCGACCCCCTCGTAATTTATAAGTTCGACGAGGCACGACTCAAAAACGGTGACAATATCGGAAAAGTTTGTCATTTCAGAACCACTTGAAAGGTACAAAGTGGATGAAATTAATAAGAAAGGGTAGAGGAAGAATTTCATTTTATTAAAATTTGGATTTTTGAGTACAGTGCTGACCTGTGTTTGACGATTTGCTCATCATGGAGAGAATGGATTCGTGGCCGATGTGTGTTTAAAACTTGAGGCATGCGTGTTTGAATTCGATTAAGCAGATTGGTTTTTCAAAACTATAGGTAGAACCACAGCCAATTTTTGGTATATAATACCTTGCTATTTGGTCTATTTACAGTGTATTTTAAGCAGTCATAAACTCTATATTTCATTCTCTGTGCAAGTTGATACTAGCCGTGCCCAAAAAACACCAGTCACCATAACTTCCATACCTAATTTCCAGAGACTGGCGGATTAAAGATATTGGGATTAAGGATTGAGATTGAGGATTACATTTAAAATCTTGGGATTGAGATTGGGGATTAAGGATTAATTTTTCAAATTTTGGGATTAAGGATTGGGATTGGTGTGCGGAAGATTGCTACCCATTATCTGCTACCCCTGAACTGCTACCCGTGATTATCCGCCACCCATGAATTGCTATCCATTATTTGCTACGCGTGATTATTTGCTACCCGTGATCATTTCCTACCCCCACCCGCAAGTATTTTGGTCTATCCTCACTACCAGTGATATTTTTTAGCCGACAAAATTAAGGTCTTATGAAATTGTGACTAATACTCTGCATTTTATTTTTAATATTCTCTTCTTGGTATTGAATATTTACGACACAACTATGCTTAGTCTTTGTGCACCAGGCAAATGTTCTGGCTGTAACCTCAATTTTTACAGGTTGATTGTTTGTTAAAATATTTTATGCTTTGATTAATTATTATCTTTCTAAAACCTACTGTGTGCAGTGTTTATATAGCTCGAGTCAGGGACAGAGTCCGCTTCAAAATTTTTGCTAAATGATCCGTACCAACGACTATTCACAATCGTCAAAAACGTTCCCACAATCCATTGCAAAATTTCAGCTTTCTTAACTAATTTCGAAACCCCTCTGGGTCCTCCTGGCAAAAAAAAATCTTAAATTTTACTTCCTATTTATTACGCTGATCTAACCCTGTAGGATCATGACAGCTTTTACTTTTTTTAGTCTTCTACGCCCGTTTTTCAAACCAGTGGAGGTGACCCTACTGGGTTCTAACTTCATATGCATCCATAAAAAACCATTAAGTATCACAGTACCGAAGTTCATATTTTTAAGACAATTTCTAAAAATCGGTATGGTCTACTCCCTAGGGTAACTCCTTATGGCAGATAGTATACATAGTCGAAACTCCGTTTTGGTTCAATTTGCAATAATTTGCATTAATTTATGTATTTTTATAAAGATAATAATATGCACAAACATATATTTGTAGATACAAGAACAAAGACCAAAATGCTTGCGGGAGGGGGTAGGAAATGATCACGGGTAGCAAATAATGGATAGCAATTCATGGGTGGCGGATAATCACGGGTAGCAGATAATGGGTGGCAAAGATCCGCAAATCATTGGGATTAGGGATTGAATTTAATCTGGGATTAAGATTGACACGGGATTAAATTTAATCTGGGATTGGGATTAACACGAGACTAAATTTATGGTTTACCTGGTATGGAAATTAATTTACATAGTCGTGGATTAATTGTTTGCATTAAAGTGCATTATTATGCCAGACTTTTAAATTAATTAAATAAATCTCTGAACTTCTGAAAATGAAATCTTTTGAACATTTTGCATGCAAAATTAGATCGCTTGTGAATACAATTTCTAAGTCGCAATTAAATTTTTTTTGTGCTAAAAATTACATAGGGGAAGGATTCTAATTTTATTCTTGGTACTATTTTAACGAAGAGCTACGATCACAATTTGGTCAGAGTACTCACATTTCTTTATAAGCTCACACAAAATTTGAACATTGTGCATTGAGGATACCGCGATACGAGTAGTTTTGCAAAATATTGTAAAGTATTTTTAAATGTATGATAAAAATAAACGAAATGCAGTCAATTTTCGAAAGGGGAGCGATCTCAAGAGAAGTTTGCTTTTCGAGTTTTTAGTCAATTCAAATTTAATCCCATTTCAATCCCACTTTTGGATTAAGGTTGACAGAGTTGGATTGGGGATTAGGGATTGAGGATTCAAATTCAAAAACTCGGGATTAAGGATTGAGATTAAGGACTAATTAATCCCCAATCCCAATCTCAATCCCCAATCCTTAATCCCGGATTGACCAGTCTCTGCTAATTTCCGGATATACATTAATGATGCGTTTAATTTGTTTGCTGTTTTATATCTTCCATATTGTCAGTGTAACAGAGCTCGGCGGATATCATGGATATTGGAGGTTTGGAGGGCTAGATTTTTGGATGGATATTGGAGGTTGGAGGGCGAGATTTTGGCCCGGATATGGATATATATCCGGATATTTGGAGGTTTTCACCAGATATCCGCCGAGCTCTGCAGTGTAACTGAGGATACAACTTAATTTGAGATTAATCATTGCAAAGGGTATGGTGACTCAATTCTTTACATGCTCAAATACCCGGTTTTTTAGATCGTTTATGCAAATGTAACACGGTCATCAAAGTTTTTAGAGGGATGAAGAATTTTTATGATTAGGTTGTAAGTTCCGTGATCACATAATTCAGATTCACTGATACATTTCACCACAATAAACTATTTATTCTTGATTTTCGTTTAATCACTTGTATGTGGTTCCCAGACCATTTGGACAAGAACTTAGTGTTATCGAACGAAACTTCAGTTTAGTCTTTGTTTTTCTGATATGTGGGACCAATTTGGATTGTCCATGTCGCCTTTCGTCCTTAAAAAAAATTAGTTCACACATTGCCAGGAACTTTTTTTCCAGCACTTACGAATTTCAATGAAACGTGAAATTTCTCGTTTCCAAGATGAATATCTCAATGCTAACATCTTTCTGACTAGCACCTATCTTTACTCCACCTATCCTAAAAATTTCAAAAAAAATACTAACGGGATCCAAAATTACAGTTGACTCTGTCGCAAAAAAATCATGTGATCGAATTAAATCAACACCCGTTACATAGATACAGGAATTGTCGCCACTCGCCGTCCGTGTATGTAGTAAAAAATGACTGGGGAGAGATTAAATCAACACATTTTATTGGATACTAGTTTATTTCTATTTGACGTAAAAGTCATTCAATTTTGTATAAGTTGTAGGTCAAAATAAAAATAAAGTGATATAAAATAATATTTAGTGTAGGCCTCCGCGATCCCAACCCAGTCACCTCTTTTCGTCCGCCAGCCCGAAATCTAGTTCCACCGAAATCCCTTGTTTTCTGCAAGGTTTGTGGTGTTGGAGTTTTAAAAAATGGCAGACATATGGTAGACGTCGTCAACTTTAAATTCCCAGCGCAATAAACCCCATCCCTCACAGGTCAGTTTGGCGAAAACACTTTTGGCGAAAAACTTTCGCCAAAAAATAATCCCATTTGGCGAAAAACAAATTCCATCCATTTCACCGTACGTTAGTTTTATTTTATTTAAAGTACCTTTTGGCGAAAATAATGTCGCATTTGGCGAAAACGAGGATTTTGTGAAAATCGTTACTCATGAAGAGCGTTCAACCCTCCGGGGACCATCGGATACATGGATTTGTGACGGGATGTTTAAATCATGTCCAAAAATATTCAAAAGAAGTGGTCAACTTTACACAATACATGCATTGCATTTAAGAAGCAATTTACGGCATAAGGCGAACAAGCCGACAATGCGTTCCAACAGTTTATGCCTTCTCCCTAAAAAATAGTGCTACAAAATATTGTTTGATGTTGTAAAAGATAACGTCAAAAACTATAATCCTTCTCAAATCATACTAGATTTCGAGGCTGCGGCAATTGATTCTACAAAGTCCATGTTCACAAAGACAATAATTGAGTTGGTTCCACCTATGTCAAAGTATTTTTAGGAAAGCTCAAGAATTAGGCCTACAATCAAGCGATTTGACATAAAGAAATGCGAAATTTAAATTTCGCCAAATGTACTTTTACGAATTTTCCACTTTCGCCAAATGTGACAATAATTTCGCCATTTAGTACTTTCATGGCAATTTTTTACCACATTGGCGAAAATTTTTTTTTCGCCAAACTGGCTTTCGCCAAACTGACTGTCAATCTCTCGGTGACCTTTTCATGGATCGCCCATATGCTTTTTGCCATGGCACAGACTTTTCTTCACAAGTACCTTAAAAAATATATTTTTCAAAGAGGAGAGGGAATTAAAAATAATACTTCTCTAAATTGAAATTTATACGTAGAAGACATGCATAAATCTAACCCAGTTGGGCGAGCAGAATTTATTTTTATGTATTTATTTATTTATGCATATACATATTACCAAGGTATTTACATAACGTAACTTGCATGTACCTTAAATGATTTACGTATGTATGTATAATCAGTCATCAGAACTTAAAAGTGCAAAATTTAAGTTTTATCAGAAATTCCAAAATTATCTAAGAAATTAAGTCACAAAATTTGGTGACAATTCATGCAGTCGTTGATAACTGGTAAAATCCGTGCGGTTTTTGACACAATTTTACGAATTAAAAAAACATGTCCTGCATCTCAATACGTTTACAAAAATTTCAAGGTAGTTTTCTATAGAAATAATTGTAAAAGTTCACAGCATTTATAGATTTTGCAATGTTACCAGCAACTGCGTGAATTATTTTGTAGTACACAAATTTTAACCTTCGGATTCTAGTAATCCGTATTGACTTTCAACTTAAAAAAATTATTACCAAATATTTGGTTAATAAACATTAGGGAGTCCCAACTTTGTAAAAAAGATCTAAAAAAGCGGAAAGCTAAAAAATCTGAAATCCACTTTTTTCGCTCAATACTTGACTGTACAGATTTTTTTAGTTACATGAAAACATCTGATCTATTTCGTCCGCACAAGTGGAAGTCGCTAGTTTTTTGTGTTCAATTAATTTAATAATTAGTTCTCTCATTAAGTCAAGATGCCTTTAAAGACTTCAAAACAGGAACTCATGGAATTCTTAGAACTGTTGGGCTGCAGTGAGATTTTCTTTTTTGATAATGTTCAAAGTGCATTGGAGGTGTTGGAGACCATGGCGTTTTTTGAAGCTTCGAGGTATATCGAAGACCGTAAAGCTGTACCAAAAAGCGTCCATTGGTTAGAAAATGTCCTACCACAACTGAATGAAAAGAGGTTTCGAGCTCAATTAAGGGTGAATAAAGCTACGTTTCTAGATTTACTGGAAATTATCAAAGGTAAGCTAAATCATAAAATTTGATTATGAATAGCGGTAACTTAATTTGTAATTTAACTAAGTTTAACTAACTTTTAGGGACGATTGCTCAGTCAAATCACCAAGAACCGTTGGAGTTGCAGTTAGCAGTTGCATTGAATCAATTGGGAACTTATGGAAATGCATCCAGCTCCGAGAATATAGCTACAAAATTTGGATTGTCACATGGTTTTGTCAACAATTATACAAACCGTATTATTGAAGGTTTATTGGCCATATCAGATGATTGGATTAGGTGGCCAAATGAAGATGAGAGAAGAAGAATCAGCAACGAAATGTTTCAGAACGGTTTGCCTAAGTGCGTTGGATTTGTTGATGGTTCTCACGCTCCTTTCTTCAAAGCCCCCATGGAAGATAAAGAAACGTATTGGTCTCGCAAAAAAGAATATTCCCTTCAGTTTCAAATTATTTGTGACCCGAACAGAATAATACGACATTTCTATACTGGATACCCAGGAAGTGTACACGACGCCAAGGTGTTTGCTGCATGTGACATTGCGAAGAATCCTAACCATTTTTTCAGCCCTGGGGAATATATCATAGGAGATTCAGCATATCCAAAATCTGAAACTGTCGTTGTTCCTTACAAACGACGACAAGGTCAACTTACTCAGACGCAAAGAGCTTTTAAGAAGTATATCTCAAGCCATCGTATTGCTGTAGAACACACCATTGGACTCTTGAAGGGACGATTTCAAAGTTTGAAACAGATTCGTATTCAAATTGACCGAAATGGCCATGTCAAGTGTTGCCGGTGGATAAAAGCGTGTGTTGTCCTGCACAACATTTTAATGCACAGGGACCCATGGACTGAAAATGACGAGATGGTTGTGGAAGCTGATGATGAACAAGACGATGAAAATTTAGAACTTGGAAATGCAATAACAGCAGAAGCAAAGAGAACAGCATTATGTGAAATTATTTTAGCAATGAAATAAATTGTATTCCTAATTCAAAACCAATTGAGTTTATTGAGACTGATTTTTGAGCTTCTGCAGTTCTATTTGCATTTCTAATTTACGAATATCGATTTCGCCTTGCTTCTCAATTTTTAGGAGCTCGTGCTTATGTTGATCCTCAACTAGTTGTAATTCCTTTAATTTCATTTCTCGATCCAGCTCATGCCTTTTTTCCTGCAGCGTCAACTCTCGTTCAGCCTACACCAAAATTACTGTATTTTTATGAATGATTCAAAATTAAACATGTGCAAAATCATTTACCCTCTCACGATTTAAGTCCAACTTTTTATCATCGAGGAGCCTTGTGTAATTAAATTTTTCCTCTTCCAACTTGATACGTTTCACTTCAACTTCCTTCTGGTCTTGTAGTCGTAACTCCATGATACTTGAAAAAACTCCCACGGCTGTTTTTGGCTTTTGCGCCTTCTTGACACCAAGCCCTGAAAGGGTTGACTTCACAAGACGTTTCACTTCTGAGTTACCATCTGCAGGCTCCCCAGGTTCAATTGAATTTTCTCCTTCAGTAGCCGTTAGGTCAACGTTGATATCAGATGGATTGTCTTCACCCGACTCCATATAGAAGAGTAAAAAATAAATATCTATTTATCTACCAAAAAATTATGGTCGTATTAAATTCCCGCATTAACTTTACATCAATAACGAAATCAACCGGTCGCGACATCGGTAGGGACATTGGGTCAAATAAATCTTCATCCACAATTTCAGAGCCACCAATTTCTCCAAATGCAGATGACTGTTCAATGTGTGGAGGTTGAATATTCGGTCGCGATCCCATTATTTCGTCTAGAATGTGGAAGTATGGACATTTCTTGAGAATCCAACCTATTAATTAATTAAACGGTGAATGGGGTTCATACGTGAGGCTTAAACGTAGTAATTATTACCATCATTTAGAGTTTCATCTTTCTCTGGGTCGACTCCAAATCCAGATTGCTGCAGTTTGTCCTTGACATCAGTATATGCTTTCATAAAACGGTCGAATCCATTTTTAAGTTGGGTATCGTCACATTGATTAAACCTTAATTTTTCTCTCATTCTTCGAAGAAAATCCATCTTTTTAGACACCTAAATATGTACATAAAACTATAACCTAGCCGCTGTCCACTTGAAACTCTTTTCGTTAGAGGAAGATGATAATCCACCTTTACCCTTGGACCTTTTCCGCGTCAAAATGACTGGTTGGGTATTCATTTTGATGGAGACTTGATTTATAACTAATTTTGACACTTCATTAGTTTTTTAACGAAATTTAAATTAATTTAACAGAAACTGAATTTATTTTTTGCCTCAGCTGAGAGATTGCTCTTTCACTCACAAGTGGGAAAAAGAGCGAAAAAATCATCTTGAAGTTGATTTTATTTTTGAGCAGAAAAAGTGGAAAAAAGATCGGAATCGCATGCGCAGTGCAGTTTTAAAAAAGAGCGAAAAAATCGTGAGCGGAAAAAGCGATTTTTTTTACAAAGTTGGGACACCCTATTTTACTCTGCAAACTCGAAATATTTTAGACTCGATGAAGCGCGCCCATCGATATTTTCTTGAATGCGTGCATTCCCACTAATTCGATTAGCTCTTCAGGCGACGAATTTAAGTCAAGGAGACGCTTGTCCAAAATAAACTTGACGACGGTTCTCTCCAAATCCTGAAATGGTACGCAATTCGGATAAACTTCAAGGAACGAAATGAAATACTTATGCCAAATTTATAACTAACAATTGATTATTTAATTGCATACCAAAGCATTCGCCAAGGAAGCGTTGCGAACAAGGAAGACAGCATTTTCCGTGGTGATATTTCGAATCAGAATTTTCTCACAATCCTGACGGATTTTGAAGTCACAATAGGAGTCCGCTAACATCATGAGGTCTAACATATATGTAGGAGTAAATTATTGCTTTTTACATATTAGCCAAATTTAAAATTTTGCATAATTCTAAACGCTGAAAATAATTTGCGGGCTTTAAGGAGATTGTAAAATTCCTTCACATCTGAAATATGCTTACCAAAAATATTCTCATAGTCGTCCTCCTCGAATTTAATCTTGTCGTTGTAAATGTAGAAGAGAAGGGCCTCAAAAGTTCCGTACTTGGTATCCTTGACCTCCAACAAGCTGCAGAGGTTAAAACGATCGGAATTAAAAATTTCAATGTGACATCTAGAAACATTTAATAACTTCGAAAGTATGCACTCACCTTCCTTGAGCCTCTTTCCACTCGTGGTTAAACATTTTCGCGAAATATTCATTTCGACAGGCAAGAATGCATTTGTGCCCTGAGATGGTTTTCCCTTCCAGGGAAAACGTTACGTCGGAATTTTCCTGTTGTAAATAAAATTTTGAAAACCCCACTTAGACAGAATAATCTATCGTAAATTTGTGTCAACCTTGCTCCCCAAGTTGCCGATGTCGATCCCCACGGTGCGTGGTTTAAGGTGAGTTTGTGCACTAACGGTGCGATAAGTTGCTTGAATCTTTTCCGCAAAAAGCTCCTCGATTGAGGTACAACTTTGCGAAAATGAGGTCAGAGGAGGATACAAATTTTCTTCGCTGTAACGAAATGCAAAGCGGGTGTTGTTCTTCAGCTCGAAAACCACCACGTCATCGTCCCCGGAGCCTGCAATATCTTGAAATTTGTCATCCCCAAAGACGTCCGTCCATACAATAGGTTTTCTTTCCGTGGACTCTGAATCTTCCAATCTTGCCGAGTACAGCGCTCCATTAACGGTCAGTGCAAAAACGAGGTTCTTGCTGCGAGTTATCTGCAAAACAAAGTATGTACAGGGTTTCGATTGGTAAAAAAAATTACGATGTATGTATCTACCTTTTTAAACGGGGCGTCATCCACGACCACTTTTTGCGGCACCGTGTTGTCCCGTTCCCATTGAAATAGCTGAAATACAAATAAAAACATGATGTATGCATTGCCAGTTGTGGGCCGTACATAAATTACGCAACGCTAGGGGGGCAGGGGGTCTAAGAAGGATTTAATAATCTATGCTAAAGGCAGGTGTCTAGAAAGTAGCAATTTTTGCATTACGTATAATTCATGCTAACCCGATAACTTATTACCTCTCCATTAAATGTAAGAGCGACGGATATGTCGTTCGTGCAGGCAACCGAGATGACTTGCTGGGAATGAAAATGTTGCTTTGGAACCAGCCTTGGTGTCCAAGAAGAGAAGACCTGACCCCACTGGTATACGTCCCCAGACACGGTTAACGCCATGACACGCATACTCGATAACGCTACTTGGTCTACTTTCTTCTCGGTTAAAGATCCCAGGACACGGTGCGGGGTCAGGACGACGTCAGATTCGGCTGTATTCTCGTCAACATTGTCTCGTTCCAGGCGGCCTAATAGTGCGAAGTGCGTAGAATCAGGTTCCAACTCGAACACGTCGTGATCATTAAGAATCCATGAATACAGGGATCCGTCCTCCGTTATGGCTAGCTCAATCCATCCAACGGCAAATTCTGGAGTCAGATAAATAAAATTAGGCAAGTATTAACTATGTTTTGCTGACCGTTATAATTATATATCATTCATAATTATCCATCGCATATACATAATTATATACTGGTTGAAGTTGTAATTAAATACATAATGCATAAATGTAACTTACCTTTAACACGGACACCGCAGAGTTGGGGAATTTTAGCAATTTTGCACACCCTACTGACGTCATCTGAATTACGAAGAAAGGAATAAGTTTCGTCCGCCATGGTGACGACGTAGGCTGCCTCCCTGCTGAAAACGTGGGCCAATTTCGCCGTCTTTAAAATCTTCTCTCCTTCAGGTCCAACGTCACGAAAGATTTCCCAGATTTTTAACTTGTCCCGAGGAATGACGTCAAGTGACGAGGCCATTATCAGTTAGGGGATGAAGGATACCTCGATTAAAAAGATCGGAAACTGAGAAAAAAGTAAGTTTTTAATCAGCAGCAAAAACAACAGCAGATCGTCACGTAGCTCTGCTTGTCCGAGCCGGTAGGAAACTCTATGTCAAGATGAACTGGGGTAATTGAGACATGTAGTCGATTATTTGTGCGTGTCACCTCATTTACGAGGGGGGTTCAGAAATTAATCGGCCTCGACTTGAAGGGCGATCATTTTGCCAAACTTTTTTTGTTGGAGTGACAGATAAGCTCATCGGTATCTCAGACCACACAGCTTAAAAATTCACGGTCACGGTCGAGTGGAGGAGATCGTCTGATGTGATCAAATACCGCGAAACAGACCAAACCGGAAGCACCCACCCACAAAGGAGCAAAGCGGGAGCAGAAATAGCCATGATCGCTTTGGCCACTGGTTTTGGGACTCAGAAGGACTTCTGCTTCTAAACGTTTCGGCTCCGAAAACGACGATATCTGTAGGGTGACCATATTTGTCCTGACTAATACCGGGACGTTTTTTGGCAAACAAATTTTCCCATAATATCTAGTGCTTGGCAAACAAATTTGTCATAATATATCTAGTGCTTGGCAAAAAAATTCATAATATCTAGTGCATGGCAAAAAAAAATTTCATAATATCTAGTGCATGACGGTTCAGATATCACCAAATTTTGAGAATGAGCCAGGAAAAGAAATTAAGTAAATATTACATGCATGTTACTAATATTTATGTACTAAAATGTACTTTTTCATCAATATTTTGGTGAAAAAGTGAAATAATTTAATTTTTCCCGATGATATAAAAAACCGGGACACTTTATCAAAACCGGGACATTTTCGGGACGCCGGGACAAGGTTTGAAAAGGGGACATGTCCCGGCTAAACCGGGACGGATGGTCACCCTAGATATCTGGTGCCTGTTATACCTCAATTTTGAAAAATTAAGCCAAGCCGTTGGTAAGAAAATACGAGAACAAAAATCACGTCGCTCACGAAAACGCTCACATTTTCAGTAAAAAATCCAACCTTTCGAAGGGTGCTATTTTAAGCCAAAAATGTCAAAATTATTTCATCTCCTTACAGTCCACACCTGGCCTCTAGTGACTAGTGTGCATTTCGGCATTTTCAAAAACACCTCAGGTGGAGGAGATTTTGACGATAGATGAGGTGAAGTCAGCAGTTCTGACTTTTTTCGAAAACCATTCATAAAATCGGGATGGAGTATTTGAAATTTAGCGGACCAAGTGTGTTGACCTCGCAGGGAACTACACTGAAAAGTGGTAGGGCAAGTACCCCAAATCGGGAATATGCCGAGCCCGATTAATTTCTGACTCCCCCTCGTACATATTTTGACGCATTCGCGAGAGTTTATTCAGCATGGAATGGAAAGCCTATATCGCGGAAAATGGCATAGTGAGATTTATGCAAATTAGGTGACACTCTAAAAGAGTATGTATAATGTATATGTAAGTATGTATAATTATTCTGACTCATGGACATTACATATTGGACATATGTACCTGTTCATTTTCATTCATTTGACTGAATATGAAATTAAATGAATAAAAATGACTGAAGGATTCTGAAAAAAAGTGGATTTTTGCGTCGCATAATTTATGCATATACCTAGGTATATAACGTAATATCTTTTCCACGTAAACACGTGTGTAATTAAAGTGCTCATTTCCTCTCATTATCTTTCATGATGAGAAAATGCTAAACAAATATATGTAATACCTAATTCGATTTTTAAACACGTAAAAGGTGCAATTTCTAAGCATAATTAGAATAATGGCCTTTAATCCATTATACCAAGAAATGTACATAAGTACTTACATAAATACTACGCCTGACGAGAAATTTCTGAGAAATTATTTCCAGCTGGTTATCTTTTATATCCATAATCTTATCTCATAATATTGTCTGAATTCAAAATTCCAAACTCATATCCACCTCAACTCATATGCACCTGCAAAATTTTATATTTTGTAAATATGTTAATGGTAAGTCATCCAAATTGATGGACCCCACCATCTAAATAGAGAAATAGCTGAATAAATAGCTCAAAAAGTGCTTTAGTTGGAAAAATATCAAATCAAAATACCAATAAAATATGTAACTTACATAATGTAAGTGGCAAAGTTCAGTTAATTCAATGGTGCATTGTATTTAAATAAATCGTTGGCTGAAAAGAGTAGATACACATAGTTGAAAAAATTTCATCAAAATAAGTGGAAATTTTCAGCTAAATCAATGGTGCATCAAATTTAACCCAACATTAAAAACTGGCCTTGAAATGACCTTGTTTATCAAGATGGTCTCACTTTTAGTTCTCATTTTACCCCTTTTATCTGTCTCCGCTAATTTTTCGAACTTTTCCTCCGTACTCTCACCTTTCGAGGGGTGTCTCATCGAAATAAAAAATTACGAGGGGATCGACCTAATTCAAACTTCGGACGTGAAAGTTCCCCTGATTTTGATTCGGTACGCACTCATGACCGTGCAACCTTCCAGCGGCTCTAAACCTATGGCGAGGTTTTTCCCGTATGAATATACCTCGCGCCCAGAGAGCGTGGCCCTTAACACGTCGAACTTTACTTACGCCATGCCATACACAGATATTTCGACAAGGACGAGATTTCAGTGGAAATGTTTCGCCAGATTGCACCTCCTCCCGCCAAAGCCGGATTTAAAGGCGGGATCGAAATTGTCTTCGTACCGTGATAACACAATGTTTTATGTAATTACGCACTTCAAACATGGGAAATGTAAAGAAAATTGGATTGATGTTCATTTATTCGATGTAAGTGGATCTTTTATAGATACACAAACTAAATAAATTTGATATCTTGTTGTCACTCCGATTTAGTTATCAAAACGAGTATATTTTGGTTCATTTTTTTCAAAATCTGACTTACATATGTATGATTTATTCAAAATCATATACAACTGATAATTGATCAAATGTTACGGGCATACTTTAACTAAAATCTGCAAAGTTTAGTCAATGTCATTGATTTTTATAGTTTTCGACTTGCGGTATAAAACACATCGTGGTTATGAGGGATTTCTATGCCAACGAAATGTTAAATTTGAAGATATTCCTGCCGCAAATTTGGAGATTTCTCAATATGGTGCAATGTTAAATTCTGAATGGGTCAGCTTTGTCGTCTTTTACTAAAACCAGATATCTCTTTTTGCCCATCTTTTAGCATTTACATATTTTAGGGTCTTCTTTTAACACTATGACCACAACCCAAGTATTTACAATATCCCCGACTTAATTTGTAATTAATCATACTGGTTAAGGGGTTAAATAATTCAAATAAACTAATCTTCACTTCAGTTAAATACACATATTTCAGATTCGTACGCAATTAAACATCTTTGTTGTTACAGAGTGACAATAGTCGATATCACTGGAACGCCATTGGCACGTTGGATTTCCCGTTTCGAACTTTGACTCCAAAGTATTACGTCCTTATCCGGCGTAGTGTCAAATACAAGTGGAAATTCGCATTTTCCTCGTTGTGGGAAATGTTCGCTTTGGACAACCAAATTACCGGGTTAGTTATCACCTTATCAAAGTCATTGGGCACAATTCAATCCGCCGAATTAATCTGCACTACTTGTCCCGCCGTAAAGAAAACTGAGCTAAAATTCATTCCCGGGGTAAAATTGGACATTGGATGTCGCAATGATTTAGACTGCAGTTACGAACTGCCGATTCGTTTCCGATTGGGGGGTAAGATAAGACAGGATTTACAGAAAAATGCGAATAAAATACTTCGTCTTGGATACAAATTGAGGTTAGTGGATCTCCTGATGGAATTGTTTGATTCCGATGTCGCCATGGAAATTGGGCTGTTATCGATCGGAATTGGAAAAGAGGCGAGAAATTTGAGCTTTATTTTCAGCAATACACATCCCGACCATTGGTCGTCCTGCGCGGAGGTCAAAATGTTCCAGAGGTTGCCGGTATTTTCCGTGTGGGAAGATTCACTCTTATTTCCCAAAGGTATTTAAGACGTATTCAAAATTTTCGGAAATCTTCCACAGTTTATATAATGCATTGAAAAATTTTAAATTATAAAATTTTTTACAAGCTTTTCACGTTTTCCCTCCAGGGTCTCGAGAAACATTAACCTTCGTCACTTGCGGTGGTGCTTTACCATCCTCCGTGAATTTTTCCGGATTTATTTCCTCTTTCGACGTTTCCACGTGGATCTCAATTCTAACCTCGATTCTCACATTTTCCCTCTTTTTCACCACAATCTACACCCTCCTTTCAAACTACCCCTTGACCGGGCTTCGAATTTCTCTCGAAATGAGCGTCCGCACCCTTTTGGAGCAGGGCGATCATATCACCGAATCCAGCAAGAGGTTCGAAACCTTCATAAATTACATTTTCTGTCCCTGGATCCTTATGGCCATCGTATTAACAAACGCCTACAAAGGCCAAAACATCACCGATCTCACGTCGCCCCTTGGTTTCCAGGGAATCACGAGCTTCTCCCAGTTTAAAACACACCCCGCCAATTTCACCATTTACACCATGCACACCGCCTTCATGGAACGGGAGTCCCGAACAGATTGCGCAACTTTTCGCCGAACCGCCATGGATATCCTGTTTCAGATACTTTTTAAGACAAAGCCCGACAATAAGGCATCTTTCGGAGAATTTCATAAAATTGTCAAAAACTTGGACATATTTGGCCGGAAAGATGTAAAGGATCCATTGTTCCTCTTAAAACCTGAGGAACAAACATATTTTCGGGAATATTTATACGATAAGGTGCAACTCTACCCGGACTGTCATTTATTTCGGTTTAGTAACTTTACATTTTTCAACGTGCTGAGAAATTGTGCCGAAAATGTGGCCGCCTTTGTGTGGTCTTCAGAAGGGGACGAGATTGTGGCAAAGTTGAAACAGTATTTGGGAAGGAGGGGCAAGTTGAGAATTTCGAGGGGAGATGAGCCCTTAATTTTTACGCGTAGGGGATGGAAGTTGAGAGGCACGGGGAGGATGATACCGATAATTGAGAGGTTGGTCCGGCTTAAGGAGGCCGGAATTGTGGATGAGTTAAGGAAATTGGGGAGACTTAAGGGGCAAAGGGTGGACGGGACGGGAGGGGAGGGAGATGAGGTGGAAGGGTTATCGATTCCGGGAAATATTGGAGCGATTTTTGTACTAGGGGGGACTTTATTGGCGGGGGCGGCTGTGGTGGGGGTGATTGAGATGAGGCATGTGTTGCTAAGGGGTGGGGTAAGATTTTTGTTGGTTGTGATAAACACGGGAAAGAAGGGGGTTAATTGGTTATGGAAAAGGTATGCAGCCTGTGGAAGGATTAAAAAACATGCAGCCTAATGTAACCTAATTACATACATGAGTTAATTATCATTTTTTAAGAAATTTTTGATTTTAGAAGTGTACATATAAAAGACATGTTGATAGTATTCGTAATTCGTTCGTTAATATATGTAGTTTACCAAGAGGGAACAAGGTATCAAACGTTGTAAACATCATAGCGCTAGCAACATGATTTGAAGTGACAGAATCGTACAATACTTAGAAAATCTCTTAACCGACGTATCTTATACGCATTTTGCTATGTGAAGGACACTAACGATAGGAACGGTATTCGGAATACCTTGATTATTTCATGGAATATGTATATATTTTGATATTTTTTAGTGGATATTTGTATGTATTTGTACATATGTACACATGTACATATGTAGAGGGACAATGTGAATTATTCAAGGTTGAAATAGGTATGTATTTTCTATGAACTTATGTATGTGGCTTATAATTGTTATAATTACCATATATGTATGTATGTTGGTTTAGGAGAGTATGTAAATAATATGTAAAAATTCGATTTCTCAAAATAGCCAAAAAATCAAATATTTTGACCTTTGCATAAGTATATCGAAACCGGCCACCCCACTATTATTTTGAATTCGTTCTGTACACAAAATTGCGACAATGCTACCTATCAATCATACGTAAAAATCGTTGGGAGATGAAAAAACACGATTTCATGGTATTTATCTATGCACATACATACATACTTAAATCAATGCATATGTTGAATTTATGAATTGTGTATGTAAAACTGGATAAAACACATTATTGTTGATAATGCCGAAAATCTTACAAAAGTGGACCAAAATCGCAGCTACTTACATATGTGACTATGTAAAACGTCGGCTTTTTTATACCCGTTAAAGTTGCAAAATCGTCCCCATGCAAAACCGTTTGATATCACCACGAATCAAACACGCTCCCTACGTCTTCACCCTTTCGTTGATATGATGTATGTATGTAATTTGAATAAATAAATTTTCCAAAAAATATCCAATTCAATAATTTATTTTAAAATTCTGATCCAATTAAATTTCTTCAAATCATCTCTCCATAATAATTACTTAATTTAATGGAGGAGGACGCCATGGTGGGCCGTTCGCAAAACGGGGGTGGCATGGACGACTGGGACGGCGGCGTGGTGGACGACTGGGGCAGCGTGGACAACCTGATTTAAATAATCGGATTAATTAATTGTTAATCACCAATTAATAAATATTCAGATTAAATTAAGTTTTTTAAACTTACTGGGACAGCGATCTTGGCAGCGGGGGCTCGGTAGTTGAAGGAAGAAGAGGACGCGACTGGGACGGCGTGGTGCACGACGGGGGCAGCGTGGACGACCGGGACGGAGTGGAGGACTGGTCCAGCGGTCAAAACACCGGCGGAGGCAACGGCGACGAGGGCGAGGAGGATGACCTGTGGATTTTTTAATAATTCAAAATTTTATAAATTTCAAATTTTGTGATGTTTTTTTTTCAAAATCGTAATTTTATAAATTTTTCCGAAATCTTACGGCTTGCATGTTGACGGAGAGGAGTTGATTGGTATTTGATTGTTAAGAGATGGAAGAATAGCTTGTGATACTAATTCCCAAAGATGCACCACCTTTTATACAGAATTTAGGCTGGGATACGAGGGGACGTCCGTAAATAATGTGGGAGCAAAACGAAGGCCCATCAAAAACGTTGATTTCTGATAAGGCATAACATTTTAAATGACAATCCTAACACGAAAATAAGCTGTTTTCGCCAACATTCGTCATGCACGGCCCCCCATTAAAGGTTACTGAATGCCTCTGCCTCTATAAAATACATATGAAAACTTGACTCTGACCAAGACCAACTCGTTTATACAGTGGCCATGGCTTTGTCTCGTCTCGTTTCTACCTACACAATATTTTTTGTTTACATACTATGTGATGTGACACAAGATCTGCTAAGGAAGTAAATATGTACGTAGAGAGACATATGTACACCTCGTTGGCAAGGTTACCGTCACCAACGACCACTTCCCAATCTCATTGTTGTGCGGTGACATATGCACATATGTATTTTCTCATTGTTGTGAAGTCACATATGTATTTTTGCATAGGCATTCTTATTGATCAGGAGAAGAACAACCTTATTGTGATTTATGTCAACCTTTCCTCATATTTATTTGCATACCTACTTTTTTTATGAGGTGGATGAAATGCAAGATATAAAAATATGCTTTAATTATTTATTGTATTAAGTAAGTGAACAGTTGGTGGAGTCATTTTATGATTTTACGACGTGGTTGATTTGAAGGGAAGTGAGAAATTAAAATCTTGGAATAATTATAATCTTTTGGACTTTTGGACTTGAGGACAAAATTTTGTCACAAGTTTATTCAGTTGACTAAAATAATTAAGTAAGCATTTATTTTGTTTTGTTAGATGCATATCTATCACAGATTATTTTATTGCGTATTTATTTACTACAGGTTAAGTGCATAGATAATACTTTTTATGTATTTATTTATCACTTAATTCGCCCAGTTGTACCTCGTGTTTAGAATTGTGCTACACACATATTTACGTATTCAGGTAAAACTTTGTAACTCCGTAAAATTTACGTAAAGAATTAATAAAACCAGTTTCAGATTTTTGATATATCATAAATTCATATGAATTTTGTAATGGCGTCTTAAAATTGTTTCTATCTTTACACAAAAATTGTACGCATTAACCTACATATAAAGCGTATTAGAAAACATTCCTAGGTTTTAAATTCCAAGATTTTCAAACGTAGAAAATTTCTGAATACATTTTGAAAAGAGAAACAGAAAATTTGAGAAAAAGGCAATTCAATTTATTCTAAACTTCGTCTTTTATTTATTTGTAAAACAAACGTGCCAAAATTTTTAGTTGCAATGGTTTTTATTGTAAGGTTAAAAATTCGTAAAATTTCGTTGTTTCCTTTTTGAAAACATTTGACAGGACGAAATTTAAACTTGTCAATCTGTGTTACTAAAAATACCATGAAATAATGGATCTCTTGAAGTTGAAGCTTTACAAGGTTTACGCAACTGAAACGAGGAAAAATTTTAGCGTGGCGATTAAATTCATAAAAAGCATCATTTAGAAGAGAATTTGGATTTAACATTGATTGTCTAGTTTATAACTTTACAAAGTCTACAGAGTTACAGAGATTGACGTGAATTGCACTCTAGTTTCAACTTAAGTGACTTGACGACTACCCCCCTCGCCTGCCCCCTCAAGTTCCAGGAGGGACCAGCAGCTTTCCGACTTGTCGTCGCCCCACGCGGCCAGCGACTGCGAGGAGAGACTGCGCTTGAGCAGTTTTCCGTACTCGAGGGACAACTCTTCCCACTCGGACTCGTCACTGGTGGGTGTGCCCAAATGGATCGGCACGGTCACCTTCAAGTTGACAAACTTCGCGACGATGAACTAAGTTTAAGAGAAAATATTTTGATCATATACATACTTAGATTTTTTTTAATGTACAACAATTTGTAAAAAATTGTAACATTATTCCTAAAAAATTGCAGGGGGAAAATGACTTTACAAGTTTACAAACGTCTTGAAAAAATCAGGTAAATATTTAGCTGCACATTTCTAAAATGATATTTTAACTTATTTTCTAACTTAAATTTTGACGTGAATAATTCAGGGTGAAAAAATTATGATAAAAATAAGAATTTTGGGAACTTTTTGTTTAAGTAAATCATACTCTATTGCAAATTTACTTGATGCCAATTTCAGAAATTTTCCCAGCTTTATAAAATTAAGTTGATAATACCTAAGTTACGCTCGCGTCAAATCTCTAGCTTTCCACAATGTTTAAAAAAAAATGTGTAAAATAATATTAATCTTTGAAATTTTCAAAGGTTACGAATCCATGGTCAAAATTATAATTCCTAATATAGAACTTACAAGTATGCAATAGGACACTTTAATGAGTGGACAACCCTCCGCCCCCATTTCGGAGGGGACGGTGTGCGGAATTTGGAAGCTCCAATTCCAAGGGACCGTTCTCCCCGGGCCTGGCGGAATTGTGGGGCCCTCCTTCTGAACCAGGAAATTCACCTCCTTATCCTTTTGCAGAAACAGGCTCGGCATTCCGGAAAAGTCGTAGGTCACATTCTATAAAAACAACAAAAACGTCATAGAAAAGTCGTACGTGACTCCGTATAAAAACTGAACTTGAACAAATTTCAGAAACAATGAATTCAAACATGGCTTGGTAACGATTTAAAATCCATAAGTTCTGTAAACTTACAAAGTTTTATTAAATTTTACCAATATTTCTCAGGAAAATTAGCCACAAATTTTAGATAAGTTTACAAACAAATTTTTGCAAACTTGCTCAGATTAAGTGCGTCCCTTTATTATACAAAGTTACCAAGAACTGCGTGAATTGTCTGGGATAAAATTTTGCACTTGTTTGGAGAGGATTCTAAATATTTGACATTTGACCTTTCTAATTCAGTATTTTTCGGTCACCAATTATACATAATATTCGTCGATACAATGTAATTTCTATGTAATGCTAACCTGCTGGAAAACCATTTTAATCGCACCCAACGGTAATTTCAACCCATTTTCCACCTTAACCCGGAAGCTGAACATGTCACCCGGCGTGGCACACATTTTGTCCAGGTGAACGCTCAATTTCGCCGTCTGGTTTCCGCCCGATTTTGAGGTGAATACCTGTCCCAAAAAAAAGTAGATCAATATTAAGTCATGTACACACATTCACATTTGTCATTTTCAGGAAAAGTGTGCAAATATCAATTACTTATTATCGATTACTTATGTATCGATTATTATCTATCAATAACTCGATATTGTCAAGATTTGCGAAAAAAATCTATATCGTGCATATGCTTTACCTATTCGTTAATCCCTAATTACTGTCCAGACATTAATTAGTAATTTAGCTACGAATAAATATTTTTACAAATCGTTATTTTTTTCTTATGGGCGCATTCACGTCAACAATTTAAGCAGATATTTTGAAATGTGTATGCTTAGCAGAAACATTTTGTAATTTTTTTACGACAAAATTTTGCCAAATAAAAACCTATATATATATACTGGGTAAATTTCCGAAAAAAAATTCCACACTTTCCCATCCACCAGCATATTTTACAGTCTTTTCTAATGTCCACAATTTGACAAGGTTTTTAGTTTGCATGATTTCTGAGCTACACCAAACTTCTCGTGAGTACGCCAATATTCGGCCAGGTATTGATTCGATATTGAACTGAAACTTATTTTCAGAAACTTATTTTCACCCGTATTTATTTACCTTGGTCTCATTAAACTCATCCACAAATCCGTCCCTGATGGAATTGACGAGTCCAATAATGACAATCTCCTTATGACAGAGGACGCCTTCCTTCGCAAAAATGGCGCTGTTCGGACGACCAATTATAATTATTCGGTAAACCGTGTACCCCAGCCCCCCGAGGAAAGTTGACCAGAGAGATTCCGGTATATCGAGTTCGAATCCAACCTCAGTTCTCGTTTTTGCAGGAATTGTCACCGCATCTTCTGGAATTTTTGCATGAAAATAACGTCACTTCAGCAACGACTTCAGCATTATAATAGTTCGGTAACAATGAATTAACGATTTGCGCCAGAACTGGCAATATTTTAAAAATACATGACTCTTAGAAGTCCGGTATTAAAATAATACCAAGCGGTATTCATGTATTACTTTACCAAAGTTGTATTAATTATTAGCACCGTTTGAGCTCTGTATTAAAGTTTTACCTATCGGTAGCAAATTTGTATGCAGCAATACAATTTTAATGCCAAATGGTAGAAACTTTGACACCGAGAAATCAATACATGGGGAACTAGACAGATAAAAATGTAATGGAACATAAACATCACAAATATGTATCATTACCAAATTTAGTAATAATGTTTGGTAATAATCTTACTCCACTACTGCAATAAAATTTTGTTATACCAAATTATTTATTTATTTATCTACATAACGTACCTGTTCCCTTGGTAACCCTGCATTTGGAATACGTCTGCAAAATATTGTACGAATAATCCGACAAATGTCGCTTATTTTCGACGTACGGTCGATACGAATTTGATTGTCTCACGACACCAGTCAAAATCAAGTGCAAATCTGAAAAATGTACACCGTTTTTTAAAATTGCTTAAAATTCCCTTCAAACAAAGTATCAATAAAATTACCAAAAATTTTGCTCGTAGTTGGAGCCCCATCAAAAATTAAATTTCCTTTAATACTTTCACCCGCTGTAAAAACGAGGGATGGACGCTCGAAGGAAATCGACTTCATGTACTTGAATGTTCCCATTTTTTTCAAAAACTTTTTCAAAAATAGTACGGTATTTCTTGCAAGTTACCAATTTCCTGCTGATTTCCACTCGTATATAAAGTTGGTCGGTGTATGTATGGATTCACGTGAATCTAGAACTGCACGTCACCCAATTCAAGAAAGGATCGATAATCCAAAACTAAACCCGGGTAGCAAACGGCAAGCTTTCTCCACCACCACTCGGAGAAAGTATGGTGAAAGTGGGTTATGCATGCAATGAGTATCTACGCTGTAGATATGTAGGCAGGTTTATTACTTTAGTTATTGTATTTGGTGTGATGGGATGGCCCTTTGTCGGCCTTTTTGACCACTGCACCCGTTTTCTTCTACTTCGTAATGACATCCTGAATTTTCAAAGGCTTAAATGCGGTCAAAAGATCTATATTTTGGGTTCCAACCACTTTTTCATTCATCCTGGTGATAATTTTTTTCACAGTGATGCATAGGTATCTCACGCATTTCTCACAATATCTTCAACGGTACCGAGCTTAAGGTGGACCACCAATACTTTTGAGAACCCACCGTATGTGCAAATAAATAAGTTGATAAATATTGGGGGTATTCACATCACTAAAAAACGTCGCTTCGCAACACATCTTCGGAACTTTGCGGTGTTTGCGAAATCGGTGTCGTGAACGACTTATTTTACATGAAAATGCGTAAATTGATTATTTGCAAAAAATAATGCATTTGACGGAAAAGTGTAAGGTTGTCTGGCAACATTTCCAAAAATGAGGAGAAATGAAAATTTTGCTTGAGGACGAGTTTGCGAAAAATAGTTTACGACGATAATAGATGCTTTTTGCTTCGCATGCTTCGTATAAAACTACATTTAAAAAACAGCATTCTTCGGTGAGGGTGCGACTAAAAACTTTTAAACAAGAGCATTGAAAAAATTTTAAAATTTAATATTGACCAACTTTTGCCTCACCGTGGGTCTAAAATGATTTTGCATTTAAATAAATGCCCACAGTGAGGCAAAAGTTGTTAATATTAAATTTTAAAATTTGTTCAATGCTCTTGTTTAAAAGTTTTTAGTCGCACCCTCACCGAAGAATGTTGTTTTTAAATGTAGTTTTATTTTCTGGTTATTGGGTTGGAATTTTTTTGTTCGTTACCAATAGCACTCAGCTAGTTAATGTGCAATTATCATACGCGTTTAAGCAGCGTAAACGGCTCCTCAAAAATACCTCCATCAAAAGTTTCTCATTTTTCAACCGATTTTGCTCGAACGTATCTTAAATGATGCATAATCAGTGCCCGCACAATAAAATCAATAGCCGGCATGATCATTGTATGGTAAAATTGAATTTCCGGTTCATTTTAAAGTTTCAAAGGTCCTAAAATTCTTGTAATACTAGAGTTTTGCAAAAAGAAAATTGAAAAGACACTACATTTTGTAATTGTCTGATTTTTTTGTTTCAAAAATGTTTCACTAAATGCAACCGTTCGAGCTGTGGCCGTGGCGGAAGTTTTAGGACCCTGTCTTGAAAGCATACCTTGGCTTCGCCGTAACCATGCGCTTTTCTGTCGTGAGGGTAGCCTTTGGTTACTTTCCTCACCTCAGAAAAAAAATAAAGCAATCTGATTGGTTGTCGTATCGCAACTCTTCGCAAACATCGCAAAGTTGCGAAGATATGTTGCGAAGCGACGTTTGCGGCGTTTGCGAAGTTGACGTGAATACCCACATTACTTAAATTGCGTGCATGTATTTATTACTCAGGTAAATTTGTTCTATAGTTTTGAAATTTCTAATACATACAGATAAAACGGCAATTATGTATTTATATTTATCAAGATTAAAATGATTTCTGATCACAGACCTTATCCTCAGCTACGCGTGTGCAAAAATCCAACTCTCTAATTTCAAAACTGCCTCCCCCACAGCCCCCACAAGTGGAGACAGTCATAAAAACTCTTTGCAAACTTAAGTCCTCGTACAGCCAAATAACAAAACATGTTAAAAGTGAATGGAAAACGGTTTCGAAATCTAAAATCAATAAGGTATTGAAAAATATAGGTGAAAAGCGATAAATCTTGAGAAAAGGGCAACCACCACCCCCTGAAAGAAGGCAAGAAAAGTGTTAATTTCGACCGTGCATAGGAAAATTGACCTATTGACCTCCAAAGACAATCCACCGACCCAAAAGGAAATTTCCCGTAAGGTCGGGGTGTCTAAGCGTTCAGTGAAAAGATGAATTAACATTTTGAAGAACCGACTTCGTCGGAAAAGTCGTGTGCATCAGCTGACCGAAAAGCAGGAAAAAAATCGCGCCCGTGTTTGCAAAAAAATTTATTTGAATTTTCTGTTAAGGAATCAGAGTGAGTTATTGGTGACATTTGACGAAGCACTAATTTCTCTACAAGTTACTAATTAGGTTCGAAGAGCTAACTACACGACAAATGCCGAAAACAATTCACGCAAGTTGGTGCTTCCGCGTGAGGAGAACTTTTGTAAACAGTTTATGGTTGTGGGTGCAATCTCGGGTCGTGGTGCCCTCCCACTTATCAAAGTCCCCCAAAAAGTGAAGGAACCTGCAAAGTATTATGTGGACCGTGTATTGAAACCACTCTTAGAATAACATTTTCCTAAATTGCACAGGAAAAAAATAATTAAGGTTATTTTTCGTCATGACTCAGTGTCTTCCCAAACGGCAAAGTTGACCCAAGATTATGCAAATGACCTTGAAGTTATACTGGAGATAAAAATCACTTCGAATAGTGAAATACCTGTACAATCCCCCGATGTAAGTCAAATGAACCTCTTCGGGTTCGAATACTTGAAAAGAAAACAATTTCTGCGGAGTCCGAATTTTTTAGCCGCAGTTTGGAAAGAGTTGAAATGACTCTCTCAACTTCTGGGGGCTGTGAGAGAGGCATTTTTGAAAGTAGAGAGTTGAATTTTTGCACACAACTACCTGAGGATAACATGCTCCTCTGTTCAAAATTTTGACCCGCTGCGACAAACCATTCCGGGGTTATTCAAAGTCAAATTCGTTATCAAATAGAAATGCGAATCTCTGTAAATATAAAATTGTATAATGCCAATGTCAATACGGAATCTGAAAGATCCAATTATAAATTTTAATTCACTTTTTTATTACAAAATATTAATAATGAAGGTATACTGACGCAGTCCTTAGTAAAATCCGTAAATTAAGTAAACCTAAAAAAATTACAAGTATTTCTAAAACTACCTCACAAATTTGTGTTAACTTACTCAGTTCTTGGGCGTCTCCTCATTTGTAAAGGTTTGTAAAATTATTTTATAAAAATTACGTACTTTGCAAGTTACGAAGCACTTCGTGAATTGGCTCGACGTTTCTTTATTCTAAATTTTGCGACTTAATTTATCGGGGTAGTTTTGCAATTTATTATAAAACGGGTACTAAATCGTGTAAATATTTTAAATTAATACTCTTTACTTCTTCTGATTGATTATAAATGTACATAAAGGCGTTGGCAAATAATACAAATTTTTATGAAAGTAAAAAGAAAGTCTGCTCTCCCAACTATATACCAGATTTATGCCTGTTTTCCACGTTTAAATTTCAATTTAGAACATAATTATTTGTCATTCCCACCAGTTTTTTAAAAATGTTTTAAATTAAAAAAAAGTATATTTAGATATGCACAAGTTTCATGAATCGTGTCAAATTTCCGAACTTGGTTGCATTTAAGATTACTTTTAATACATTCATACCTTCGTGCAAAAATGGCACCAACTTTCTCATTGACCAAGTAATTTGGTTTTATTCATTTATGAACATGACGAAAATGTGCATTTCATGAAAAATTTCCAATTTGAAGGAATTTCCACAGATATGAAAGAAATATCAAACTCTATGGAAATTTTTGTCGTCTTCCTCCGTCTCAATTTCCTCGTCTTACTTTCTCCAGTTTTTGGTAGCGGGTTGTCCCAACAAATCCCTCACACCTGATTTCTAGTTCCTGCGAGGACTCTAACTGATACACAGTTAGAGTTCCTAGAAAGTGTATTTGAAAAACAGCCACCGCAAAACAGAAAAAAAGTGAGATTTTGGGAGCACACACGATTTCGTGCATTTTCTGCCAAACGTGGTGGCTGCAACTCTCACCGTCACCACCGCTCATGTCCATATATCCTGGCATCAAAAAATTACGTTTGCAGCACATAGGTGGCGTCCGCACCCCTATTTGGACATATTCTCTCCAATGTCGCCAATTTCGGAGTCGCGTCTCCCCAAATTTCATGCTCTAAATGGCGGTGCCGACGCCACCTAGGTGCTTCCAACGTAATTTTTTGTGGATACGAGCGGTGGTGCACCACCATCGTGGGGCGAAGCACACACTGCTTGGGCGTGCAGCAGCCACACGCGCTGCGTTAATGCTACCAATAGGGGGTCAGAAATCGTACCTCTATCGTGGTGTTTTTCCTTATGGACTTTCCACGAACCCTTTCTGGCTCACTCCAAATAAAAAAAGCCAGCTGGGTTCGTCGCGGGAACTACACTTAAATGATGTAACAAAACAAATTTTATGAATTGTCAAAGCTTATTTATCCATCTTTCCTGCGGTGTTCCTTAATTGCTTGAGTATATAATTAATTACTAATTAAAACAGTCGAGTAATTAGTTATTAATTAGGTAATTAATTAATTATTAATTACAATTACATCGACAAAAAGTCCATTACCAATTACTTTCTCGACTTTTTCTTCTAATTAAATAAGTAATTAATCACTTTTTTAATTAAACCCTGCTCCCACAGGAAATGTTCCCGACGAGAAACCCGCAGGGCCCAGTCGACCTTCGTCATCACGTCGTCACCCACCCTATTCTCAAATGGTCATCGACGCGGTCACGTCCCTCGCCGAGATAAACGGCTCATCCTTCCAGACCGTGAGCAAGTTCATCGCCGACAAGTACAAGGTTGACACCAGCTTCATTCGCAGCGCCATCACGAAACTGGTTGAAACTGGAAAACTGATTGAAACCAAGGGGTCTGGATTGCTCAAAATTCCAGTCGCTGCGAAGAAGAAGGTCAAGTCTCCAAAAAGTACTAGTACCGGTAAAAAGCAACCTGTTTCCGATGAGAAGGATGATGAAGACGCCAAAAAGAACAGTGTCCCTCCACGTTTCCGATTTACCCGGACAAAAAGTAATCCCGGAATGGTAAAAAAAAACAAATTTTAATAACATTTTGAGAGATCATTCTGTCTGTGAGATACGATGTACTGGGCCGTTCATAAATTATGTAGTGCAAAAAAATTGCGATTTTCTAGACTCCTCCTCCCCCCTTTAAAATGTAGGCACGATATCATTGGAGCCTTAGACCCCCCTCTCGTGTTTTATCGTGTTACGTAATTTATTAACAGCACAATTTTCATATCTATCTGTACTCTAGGTCTGTGGACGGTCGCATGCTAGGCGATCTAGGTGTCGACCGGGGGAAATATTGGACTTCAATAGCCAAGGCAACGAAGAGGTCGACGATACGATCAACGAGTGTTTGGCAGACCCACGTGCAGCAGAAGAACCGACGCATGGACAAGAACAAGTATGTCAATAAAAATATGTAGGTAAAATTTACTCAAGGTTGAGTAAAAACAGGATGACGTAACTAAAAGATAAAATTTATCCTACATTGTGCAAAATTTATCCACCCGTTGGACACATTTTACACAAATTTTGCACAACGGCTGTGCAAATTTTACCGTGTCATCTACTTTTTTTGCTCAACGTTGAGTAAATTGTACATATTTTTATGTAGAGTGTAATTCATCGTGATATTTCCAGCACTAAATATTCTAACGTTATGCATGTCATTATTTTCAGTTGATTGAGTACGACCAAGAACGAAGAGAACCTGCTTCTGATTGATTGACTGGTCCGATTTCATTTATTTTTTCACTTTGATTACAGATTTGTAACTCGTTTGCATTGATGAATTAAATTCCAATAAATTCTGCTCTCCGAATTTCGACACATCCACATTTATTCTTCCATATTTAACCTTATATTAATTTGTCCGGATCCCACAACATTGCTTCAAGTTTCGCAAATGATGGACGCTCGCATGCATTCGTGTTCCAGCGACGAAGCATCACATCCGCAAATTCGAAGCAGTATGCTTTTAAAAATAGTGTTAAAAGCGAATGCACTCCGAGTTCTAAATAAACATACGTCGGATATGAATGAAAAATGACTTTTTCCATTTATTGACCTACAGTCGCCAAACTTCCTGAGAATGTTTATGGTCACTAGTAGGTCACGTAGGTCAAAGCATATTTTCTCATATTTGTCATATTTTCGGGTTTTAGGACATATTCATATTCCCGATCATATTTCGGGCTTTTTTCGTTCATTTTATCATTTTTGCCCAAATTCTAAGATTTGGCAATCAAATCGACAGAAAATGACAAAAAATTCAGTTGTCTCACAATGATTCATTGTGAGAAACTTTCAGAAATTTACGTTCACTTTCGCCCAAGGTAATTTAATTCATTGGGAATGCATTAAATTACCCCAGAACTTGTTTATTTGATAAACATTGAGCATTACAAGAAAATATATCAAAAAATTAAGCCAAAAATTTAAAAAATAAAGTCATTTTTATGGTCATATTTTGGGGATTTTTACGGTCATTTTTCATTCATATTTTGAGGTTTTATCGGTCATTCATATCCGACGTCTGTAAATAAATTACGTAAACTGCATATGCCAAGATCAGGGTGAACTTTATTAAACTTTACCAAGTTAAATTTACTCTAAATTCCTTTGCATTATTCACTTAATTTATAATTCAGATTAGGTACATTCACTTTTCATAAGGGGAACATTATTTTTTAGAGGGAATGTATGAACCTAAGCTTTCAAAATTAATAATGAATTACCCGTATAAATTTGCCGTCCAAATTTCGGCTCTCTCAGCACGTGACCATTCATCAATAAATTCATAAAGTCGCCATTCCATTCCACATCTGCCATGGATAGAGTTTCTCCGAAGGTGTAAAGAGAAGCACCCCAAACGACCAGACGTCCGATTTTATGTGAGAATTTTGAAGCAAATATGCACGCTAGAGAAACGTCGACGCATTTTGACATACTTATTTTTGCAGTTTTTTTTCAGACAATGACAAAATCTTTCCAAAAATTCGCTTAGATTAAATCGGTCCTTAATAAACTCGAATTGGTGACGTACTTTCTGTAAGGCCTTTCACACACGTGCAAATCCCGTAAATAATCTAGTCAAGTTTATTCACTCTTGGGAATTTGACAATTTTAATTAACATAAATAACTTCAAACTTGTAATATTTTTAACATTCGCGTGTTTCATTAATTTTTTCATTCCAACTTTGAAAATCCGCCGATATAAGTGGCCCATTCTTGTCTGACCTCGGGGGACAGGTCCCTTTTGAACGTGCACTCATCCGCGGATGGCAATCTGTCCTCGGAACGACCTTCCAGTAAATAAGTCTCCCCACCGACCCACGCTTCTTGGAAGAGATGTACTCGATTTATGTTCATCGTGTTAATAATTTCCTGTTGCGATCTGTAAATGAATTTCAGGACAAAATTATGCAAACTTCTGTATTTTACTTCAGAATGTACATAAATCATTCTGAAAAAGCGGTGTTCCCGTGAAGGAGAAACTACTTGCAATAAATTGTGCAATTTTTGCGAAGATAGTTTTTTGCTTCGAATTTTGCAAGAAATGGCGAAAAGGTACAAGAAATCAAAAAATGTCTATACACCTTGGCAAATAGGTGGACGCTTTCCTGGCATCCTGTTCCGCGACATCGTTGGCACGAAGGAGCGTATTGTTCCCGATAAAGCCGACGACCTGCGTCACCCCGGCGGCATCCTTGTAACAAACCAGTTTCCAGTAATGGTTTGGCACGATGTAGCCAACGTTAGTGGGACTGAAGAGGTCTTCCTGATCGCCGATTCCAGTAATGATGTAGCCCGCGCGTCCCGCTAAAATGCAATTTACCATTTTTTTCAAATTAATAAATCATGACAATAATTGTATAGTGGCGTGTGTGTTCGTGTTCCGTTTCAACTTGGCGCTGGATTTCACATTGTCCCAGACGCGCTTAACCTATCCTAAATCCCGCTAGCTGGGTTACTAGACTTGTTCATACATTAGCCCAAATTATTTATTTTTCAAATTAGACTCTTACAAAAATAGGTGAGGACCCTGGACTCGACTAACGACCAGGGTTGTTGGTTCGTAAATGGTTCTTGTGGCGCGATGTTGAAACAGTAGAACGTTTTGTCATTCGCGTCCCGCTCAAAGGTGAAGGGGTGGCTGGGTTGCAAGTGACCCCGGTCGAAGGATGTCCTCCCAGAATAGGCCTATTCATACAGAAACCTCACATTTGCATAAATTGCATCTTATTTAACATTGTTTTTTTGCAAAATCTGGTTCGGGTTTCGCTAAGGTTTTTAGGCATTGAGAGCATACCCAATTATCTTTGTATCCTTAGTATCGTAAAATAGTTTACGAAGAGGAAATAATGTGTCAAGCTTTGTAAAAAAAATCGTAATCTTGGTAACCCGATCTTTAGACAAAATCTTTCTCTGCTTATAAAATATCGTAAACGACGTAACTTAATTTACGATTCAAAGAATATGTACGAAGGAATCATGAATACCCTCAAAAATTGTCTTAAAAAATTACGAAAATGAATAGCAAGATCCCAAAGAAATTTGGGAGACCAAAAATAAAATAATGTCGCTCCACACATTTTACGGGCCACACGAAGTTACATAGACCAACCTGTTGTTCCGGCGTCATCCGAAACGTAGTCCCGCACTCTGTCTGGTTTAGCCCTTCGCACGTGTACGGTCTGAAGTTATCAATGCGGGAGATATTGTGCTCATTGTTGAGATAGTTGTACATCGCCGTGACGGCCCAGGGATGCAACCGAGTGATTTCTTGCTGGACGAAAAACATGTTAAAGTCGCCGATTCTGGATGTCGTGGGGATCGTAAAGGTAAAAATACCATCCTTCGAATTCGCCACGGAACAGTTCAGCTCGACCAGGGCGAAGCCTAGTTAAACCAAAAACTGGGTAAATTCACACCCTTAATAATTTTACGCTTTTGAAAATGAAATGCACTCTGAATTCTAAATTAAGTAAACTATACAAAATCCCGACTAACGTTAGCTTCTTTACTTAATAAAGAAGAGTAAAATTAACTCTGGATTAAGCATGGTTTTTGCACTTAATTTAGAATTCGGATTGGACTCAATTTTCAAACACTATTTTTAAGAGTGTACATATTGAGGAAAAATTTATGAATTTACCTGAATGGCTTAAACTACAAATTAAGCCGATAACTAGCAATATTTTATCCATTTCAAATTTCCAGAAATTTATGTAGTTATTGTGATTACTGCAACTCGCCAATTGATTAATTCTGTTCATTTCAGAAGTCTTTTTATACCCATTTTTTGCAGGATTAACAGATCACAAAAGAGAAATGCTTCTGTATGATTCCACATACTATTGATAAGTATGCCTATCTTGCATAATTTACACGATAAGTTAAATATACACTCTTAGAAATCCAGTATTCAAATCATACCAAGCAGTATTCATGCATGACTCTTCCAAAGTGATAAAGATAAAGTGATAAGTATTTAGTACCTCGGGATCAAAGGCTTATCACACGAATAACAAATTTTTTCAAACCGATATAATTTCAGTACCAATCGGTGACAACCTGCATTACTTCACCAGATTTCTAACTTTGTGCCATCCCATGACGACCGCAAATAATTTCCAGTTGGAACCTGATCAATTGTTTACATAACCATGGAAACAATACGTAAAGGCCAGCTTAAGATTACCAATTTGCGTTGGTGATCGATTAATCAATCCGTATCATATGCAAATCCGCCTCGGGTTTGATAAGCGCAGGAATTTGGTGGAACCACCACCTTTGTGCATGCATAGTCACCTCGTGGATGATAAATACAAAAGGCGTTAGGACATGGTTTTGACGAATTCATACCTTAATTGCGGGATGGTTTTTAGTCGTAGAGATTTCTAACTTGTTTTATGTGAAAGCCCATGTCTCAAACTATAGGTAAGCATATCTGGCTTCCGATTTTGTGTACTCTGCGAAATGAGGCAAGGTCAAATTTGGAGAGGTGTCCTTTTTTAGTTTTCCAAACCAGTGTTCTTAAAAAATGGCGTTGAACAAAAGATTTGTTTATTAGGTCCTGATGCAAAATTCGTCTTTGCGACTATTATCAAGGGACTTAGCATGTTTTTCACTATATAAAACCACTTTTATCTCATGCTTATCTTTTAAGTCCCTTTTGTAGTCTAGCTTCATACTTGTCCTAATGGAATACTCTCGTGAACGCAACTCCTCGACTTTTAAGGCCCCCACATTTTACGACTTTGATGCTAAAAATCCCTAACGTGATTTTTATCCAAGGTACATATAGTATATTGCACTGTAAGTACTTTTGACACAATTTTGATAAGTGGTTAAACCCCACGGACTGAGTTTTCATCAGACCTTATAAATTTTTTGGAAAAGTTCCCGTCGTTTTCGATGTCGAACTTCAGAAATAATCTAACTAACCAAAACGCAATAATTTTATTATTTTGTCACTTGTACCTTGTAGATAAAATAGTTCTGCAGTAGGGGACACAAAAAGATTAGTAAAATTTATTTTCGAAAAAAATTGACCATTAATTTTCCAAATAAGTTCACGAGTTTTTAGGATTCCGCGACAGCTGATTAGCTAGGGTCGTTCTCCAGAACTGTTTACACAAAATCTTCACTGTTTAATTTAATATTATTTGGGACACTTAGAGCTTTGCCCTCAATCTTCATTTGACCGAGTGGGTCCGCTTTCAAGGTCAGCAGGTCAATTTTCCTGTGCACGGTCCGATTTATCAATTTTCATGAAAAAGTATCAGCGACGATGGAGGCCCAACGTTATGTAATTGATGTAGATTCTTTTATTATTACATGCAATGATTATCTAGGGTTGTAATATTAACAATCATTCACCTCTGACCTCATAGGTTATCATGCTATATGAGAAATTCAGTTTGGAAAGTGTTTTTTTGGCTCCTTCCAACTCTGGGGGCACTGGAGGGGGCATTTATAAAGCTATCGGCCTAAAATTTTAAATATATCTTTTTGAGAGTATTATCTTGCAACTGACCAAAAATCAGTTCAAAATTCAACTCCCCGCCAGAGATATTCACCCGCAAATTCGTCAAAACCATGTCCTAACGCCTTTTGTAAATACACCATGAGGATTTTAGATTGATCCAAGGCACTAATTCTTTACTGTTACATATCTCACCAAAAATAAAATATTTATGTAACGAATTCCTCATAATACTGGGATTAGATAAGTTATGGTATTATGCAGAATTTTTTTTAATTTACTTACATATTACGATCATCAAACATTGATCAAGCATGAGTCATATACGCATTAGGAGATCGCTTCTTTTGTAAATTGCAGGCTTGCATCTGTATTAGTTAAATTGACACTAGTTTGATCCAGAGTTGAGTCGGTTGGACATTTTTTCGGATCTATCCGAACCGAATCCGAATTTTTCGGTTGGAAAAATTTCCATCCGAACCGAATCCGAATTTTTCGGTTAAAAAAATATCCATCCAAACCGAATCCGAATTTTTCGGTTGAATAAATATCCGAACCGAACCGAATGATTCGGATTCGGTTCGGATGAACACTTTATCCGAAATTCGGATAACCGACTCTAAACTGGTACATATTTTGTTTAAGAAAACACACAGAATAGTTTAATCTTGGCTCAATTTGCAATTATTCCGTGCATATGCACTGCAAGAAATCAATAACCAGTGGTAACTGCAAAATGGCATGAATTCGGAAGGCATGCTTAAAAATAAATTAAAATCCATCCAAACCGAATTCGAATATTTCGGTTGAAAAATTATCCATTTGAACCGAATCCGAATTTTTCGGTCGGAAAAATATCCATCCAAACCGAATCCGAATTTTTCGGTTGAAAAAATATCCATCGGAACCGAATCCGAATTTTTCGGTTGAAAAAATATCCAAACCGAACCGAATGATTCGGATTCGGTTCCGATGGATACTTTATCCAAAATTCGGATAACCGACTCAACTCTGGTTTGATCTAGTTACATAAATCTGAGAGCTTATATGGGAGACGTCCATTGTTAGTTTGCAGACCTAATTGTTCAACCGATTTGTTCAAATTCACCTTGTTGTAATATCCGGTTGCCCAGAAGAACCATACATAAATTCCGATATGGATCATAAGTAGTTCTTCTCATCAAAGTTACATAAATCGCACATTTTGTTTATCAACGTGGCGAGAGAACTTATACATATGTACAGGATAAATGATGATACTCTGCTTAACTAATTCACATGACGTGATAAATTTTCGTCCGAATTTTAAACGATCATGGTGGTAATATATGTAAAGTTGATATATTACTTATTTGCATATGTACATACATATTTACAAACGCGTGTATTAATATGTATGCAGTGCCTAAACTAGGCCAGCCACGAGGGTGGGCAAACTTATTGATGCGCCCCAATCCGCTCGCGCCGTTGTCGCTCGCGAATTTTTCTAAGCACCAAAATGGCCATTTAAAAATTCGTTGCAAAGAAATGGTATATTATCTTAAGCACAATTAAATGATTTCCAATGTAGGTTTTTCCATATTTATATCCGCCGCATTGGCTCAATTTTTTTCAAGTACTCCGATGGAGAGCGCATCAAAATGTCCGATCGCACTCAAACATCTTATTCTCAAACATTCTTTATGCGATAAAAAATATTACTCCTAACCCATTTTTCGAAATTTAAATTTTTGGCGAAATTATGGCAAATTTTCAATTTCATTCTTTTGATTTCTTCCCTCAAATTACGATAAACCAGTCATCAAAACCATATACTTTTTTTCATTAGGATCTAACTGATGCATTAAAATTTCCCAATTTTTTGAAATTTGAGAAAAGATAGTGCTAAATTCCGCTAAGTTGAGGGTCAATTTGCGCAAAACGTTTTCATTTCCAGAGGTAAAATTTCTAAAAATAGATGCCTTTGACTTTGTAGAATAAGATATACAAAAATTGACATCGGCAAATGAAAATATTTTTTGAAATTCAAATTTTAAAAAATCATAAAACTTGTAATATGCTTTTACGTGGCGCATGTACAAAAAAGTATAAAGGCTTAAATTGCAGCAAATTAAGTGTCGTAATCCAGTTAATTGAACATTTAAAAAATAAGTTTTCTGAATTTGATGAATCTTCAAATGCATGCGCAAAATAATATTTATCTGTTTTTAAAATTATTAAAATTGTAATCCCAAAAATGGGTTTGCGGGCGTACGGGGGAGGTGAGCTGTCTCAACTATTATTTTTTGAAATCATGCTCATAATTGTTATGCTGCATCATTTATGTTTAAAGTTTTAATTGCCATGTCCTTACTTTCTGCTATCACCCAAATTGTCAATTATATCTAGTGCTTAGCGGGGCGCCTGTCGGCGCCCCCTCAAAGTCTGGCGCCCCGGGCAATTGCCCTGCTTGCCCACCCCCAGTTTAGGGCCTGTATGTATGTATGTAAATACATATATTTGGTTATATAACGCGTAAGATGAGCAGGACACAATAAAAAAAAAGAGGACATAAAAATTAGCCAAAATGTACTAGATGTGTCTTCCTATATTTTACTTAACGTTAAGTGGATTTTGCACAACTTTGTTTAAAGGGTATTCACGCGTATCAAACAATTATCGTTTACTGAAGTTTGAATTCGAATGCTACTAAATAGTTACTTTCGAAAAGCGTCATACTATTTTTACGAGCGTACACATGTCGACGTTATGAGCGCACGTGTAAATATTTAAGTGTATAACCCATTTTACAAACTTCAAATATTTATGTCGCCAGTAACTTGATCAATTACTCTTCAAAACTAACTTCAAAATAAATGCTTACGTGCCTCAGACCACGATCGCAGCGAATTCTAAGTAGTAAGTAACATACGGACGCACACCTGTGCGCCAGAGTTACACATAAATTTTGTGGAAAATACTAACACGTAAACTAAAATTCAAAATTTAAGATGACGTTGAATTTCGTCTTCATACCCTTAATTTTCACTCTTTGCTCCGACAACGAGTTCGTTCAGCGGTAAATGGTATCTCGGTCATTGAAAATCCAAACAAATTTCAACATCTTTTCACGATATTTAATCAATGCACTTCTGTCATACGATTCACTAATTTCACTCCCACATACTTTATGGAAAATGTGGTCATTACCATGCCTATCATACTTTTTCATGAGGATCGTGTCCGAAAAACTGCTTCTTTTAAGCTCGAATTTCCCCTGGAAAGAGTTAAATTTGTAAAAAGGCGACAAATTAGCCAGCCTTGTCATGTCTTCGTTCTTACCAATGTCATCAGCGAAGCAGGGGTTTACAATGTCTGGGAAGGTTTAACTAAAAACTTTGTGGAACCAAAGGTCCGAACTGCGCAACAATACGTCGTCTGGTTTATGGAATCAAGGGCAGACCTATTTTTTGGAAAAATTCCTCTGTATTTTTCATACATTGAAGGTTCCGTAGTATTTAATGCATACATGGAGTTGTGCTTGTTCCATTATTCTTCAAGCATCTTCTCTGAGGAAGTTGAAATTCTCTTCTTTAATCGCTTCAGTACACTCGAGGGGGCAAAGTGGATTCCCATTTCCTGCCTAGAAAAAGAATTGGAACATCTTTTAACAATTTTTGGCATTATTCGGGATTTACGTATTTGATTTCTAAATAAATTTGGTTTCCACAAGGATAGAAGTAGTGTTAAAATCAAATGTTTATTTCTTAAATTATTTTATACGCATTAGTTCAATGTCATGTCCATTAAAAAATTCTCAACAATAATTTAAATATTTGTATGTCCACGATACAGAGATATGTACATATTTTTTAAATGGATTAATTTTGAAGTTCGTGGTTCAATTTGTAAAATATTTTGCACTAAATATTATCCCTAAATCGGAATATCTTCGGATTTAACTTCATGAAGCTACAAGACACATTTGAATGAAGATTTATTTGAATATTTAAAATATTCGGAAACATTGATGTATGTACATATGTGCATACATACATTTCACGCCAAATATTCTCCTAAAATTGCTGGGATTGGTCCGTCCAACTTTCCTTAATAGCCGTATCGCGTAGTAACGACGACATCAAAGACGTCTTCAAGGTCGACCGTCTGCTCAAAGGTGATCATGGGGCAGCACGGCCACGATGGAAGCTCAATATTCAATCTGGACAAGAGTGGGAAATGATCCCGAAATCTGGCTTCCTGTAAAAAAAAAACAAAAAAAAATGTCTTGTAAAAATTGTGTTATTGATAAGTGATAATTTTCGGCATAAATTACGTTGTAAAACTACCGCTACTTTGCTGCATCTGCTTACTTATTTTTACCTTGACGAGCTTCCCAATATCGAAAATATCTCTGTCCAGGTTGTCGAAATGGCCTTGATTCGGCCCCGTGTGCATGGCCAGGTTAAGTTTCCACAATTTCGGAAACGTTATAGTCACAAATTTCCACGTTCTGATGATACTCATATTGAAGGACAAGTCGAGGACCCGCAGGGTGGCGAAATGTCGGACCAGACAGGTTTCCAGGCCGGACACGTCTTGCAGCGAGAATTCATCTCGGGGATGATTTATTACGTTGATACCAAGTTTACGAAGCCCATTTCCAAGTCGGGATAAAATTCTGATGTCCTAAAAAATTAGAAATTTAGATTGTTTTAAAAGTCCGTATTGATCTCAAGATGGTAAATCAAAGCCGATCCCACAGATTCAAACCTGTTAAAAAAAACATTTCTTCATTCAAAATTCACTCAATTGAAAGATCGGAAAACCCGTTCATTCATTATTCATTTATTCAAAATCTAATAATAAATATGAATTTATTATTCTTTTTTAACTGATTTTGTCCGAAAATTCGCCTTGTTAAACGGATTTCTCAATAAACCCCGCATATTAAGCATATGTATAGTGAAAAATGAAAAATGAATAAAATTATTCATTAGCTCTGAGAAATATGAGACGAGCACAAAAATTTTGAAAAATTATTATTTATGAATTTATCGAGTACTGAATATTTAAGCTATTCATTCTCAATTGAATAATTGTCTGTTACGTTATGATCGATCACACCCGGCCGAAAATGCGAATTTGAAATTTTGGCACGAAAAAATGCAATTCTTTAAAAACAATTTCATAACTTTTTACCTTCAACTGACAACAATCGTCCACCCAAACTTGGTCCAAATTTGCGAATTGGTCTCTATTTTCGACCATAAATCCCACATAGTAGTCGAGGCCTTGCGTCGCCGTGAACATGATACTTTTCAAGGAGTGAAACCGCCCTAAAATTGTAGCTTTTTCGGCCACATTATCTTGCAAACTTGTGCAGTCGATGTCCAACGAGGTTGCGTGAAAATGCAATCCTACAAAAAAATTGAAACGTTGCCAAGACAAAAAATAATTTGCGCAATTATTTATCTCACTAACTCAAATTCATCCCAACCGAACGACGCTTCAAGTTAAAATTTGCCAAAACATAGATTTTGCAGACAATCTGCAAATTCCAATTTATTCTAAGTAACTATGTATGTACACATGAGCACACTCATGTCAACCTTGCCATATGTATATGTACATGTCGCAAATGGAACATCGCAACATAACTCGCGAAGTTTGTAATGTAAATTTCGCAAAACTTTTGCTGGAATACGGTTCACATTTTTTCGCAAAGCTATCCTGCGACTGGGCATGTTTTACTTGTGAATATTCCTCCCAATTCAAATAGCATCGATCGAACCAAATTAAAAAGGTAATAACATTATTCGTTCAGATTTGCGAAATTTGCGAATACCCTCGCGTCACAAATGTTGTGAGTTTTATCAATTTGCTAAATGAGTTGATGTGCTAAATAAGACGCTTTCGCGAGTACGTTCTACATAAACATTTCTCACCTTCCGGATACCCGCCTAAATTCAGGCGCATGTGCACCTCTGGTACCGCGTTTTGTGCCGCGACGACCGCCAACAGCGCCCCCTGCGGGACCAGCCCATCAATGTTACAGTTCTTCTCAAACGTGACCGCATCCATGTATGTCACGGAACCACGTGGTCGACGCAAATGGTCAAAAAGCTCGGCCAAATCTAAAAATCAAAAATAATTTTGAAACAAAATATAACCATAAATTTATTCAACGTTTCCCCAAGAAAATTTAAATTTCGTTAAAAATTCGACACTCACGTCGATACGCTTGGACCAATTTAGTGTGACGATACGTCGTAAAACTTAGTTCGAAATGTTGAAAGGAATCCAATATTCCCGCCAAAGCGTCCCCGACACGATCCTCCGTTCCCAACATGAGCAGCGGACCTTTATTTATGCGGAGAAACGTCGTCCTTTCCCGCCCTGGACACAAACCTTGCCACATGTCAAGCCGAATCTACATCAACAAAAATCAAATAACTCGATTTTTCGTAATTTCCTAAATTTATATACAAAATTATGCAACTTACCCGACTCCGCTCAGAAAACCCGGGCCCGGCGCTCCGCTCCCAATTTCGGCACACGAAGCGCACAGTCTTCAAGTCGTGATGGTCCAACCAGGAAAATATGTTTCCTAAAATCTAATTAAAAATTTGAAAACCGATTAGGCGAATATTTTTGTAAACATGACAAACAGGGTATCTCTTGCAATTAATCTGTGGCAAGAACATGGTATTTTACAGGTATTTGGACCTGCAAGAAAGCACGTCGCGTCCCTATTTATACACTCAAAATAAGGTAGTAATGAAGCATTACCATGACTATGTGGCTCTACCACGTTGGTTACGATTTGTGGTAGAAATGGTAATAATAATTTCAGGGAAATTCAAATTCATTACCAAATATTAAGGAAGTGAATACCATTATGTATTAAATTTGAATTTCTCTGAACTTATTTATTATTACCATATTTACGACAAATCGTAACCGACGTGGCAGAGCCACATAGTTATTCCGCATGGTAATGATTCATTACTACCTTATTTTGAGTGTACTTCATACGACGAATGGCTAGATGGCATATGTTTCTTGTACCTTTAAATTCCTGTGTTTTTTGCACCTTTGATTTCTAGCTTCCCATTGCAAGAAACGTATGTAGCAAACCCACAAGAAACGAAACACTAATGACAAATTTCTATGCGAATGTAGCTAAATAGGCGAATATTTTGCAAATTAAAAAAAATTCCACCAAATAAAATCTTACCAATCCATTTTGAAATACTTCCTCGACAAGACTTGCCATTCTGCAGATGATTAAATTCTACAAATTTGAATTAATATCTGGCTTAAGTTCTACAATATTTAACGACTCTTAAAGTCTATTAAACTTTAACAATTAAATATGTATGCAAACGACGAGACAAATTCTACGCTGTCCGTACTAACTGACCTTGCGTCACTTACTACACCCGTATTTAAGTCAAAGTGGCCCTTCACAGTGGGAAGGGTGAAGTAAAAATAGGGTCTTCTCGTCCGTTTAAACCTTTTTTTGGGGAATGGACAAAAATAGCATTCCCCGTAAAAAAGATACTTATTTTAAAAAAAGTGCAAATTATAAGGTGAGGAGTTTTCTCGAGATGAGTGTGTAAGCACGTGTCCATAAATTATGTCACGAACAATTTAATTGTTCGTGATTTGCTTTCAAAATTTGCGTTTTAAACGAAAATATTCCCAACCATCACACCTCCCTTTCCAGATGTGGTGCAAATTTCCCTGTCTCGCCAAACTTTGGCACTCTCACCCCACCTTAGCAGTGCCATAATTTAGGGGCGGTCCATACATTACGCCATGGAAAAATCCCGATTTTCTAGACCACCCTCTCCCTTCCTGCCTATCGCGTTACGTAATCTATCGGCGGCCCCTCATGGACACCCTCTAAACCTAAGAGATTCTAAAAATCGCTACAACTATGTACAACTATCTACGCTATGTATAAAAGTCCACTGGTTTTTCCGTCTGTCGAATAGGATATGTAAATATAAATAAAAACCAATACCAACAAAACTTGGATAGTTATGAATACGGTGCGTCTCAAAATGAAAAGATAATTCTGCGATTGGTCATAATTAAATTAACATGCATTATCCAGTGCTTATATTTTTACAGTTTATTCTTCCAATAGTATGTAATGTTTGATAGAAATGGTAGCCAAATGGGGCAAATTTTAATATGGCTATAAACAATTTTAAATAATTTGCAAAATTGGACTGTCTCAAAATAGGAAGATGGGCAGTTTTAAATCGAGCTTAGAAGCACAATTCTTCTGACTGGAGTGCTATATTGGTATCAGTTTGTAAATTAATATTTGGTGAAACCACCATGAACCACCATGTGAATGGCTTGTTCAAGTTCCCATTTTGACCTATACTGGCGTCCATGACTATAGACCCGGCGTGAAAGTTCAGCCCAAAGATTTTCCATAGGATTTAAATCCGGACTTCGAGCCGGCCACTTCAAGGTCTGTACGTTTTTGGCGGCCAAAAAGTCGGTTGTTGATCGGGAAGCATGGATACTAGCGTTGTCCTGTTGGAAAATCCATCCGCGCCCACCAATTTTGGACCCCTGCCGGATAAGATTGGCTTTCAGGACATCTTGATAACCAGCCGAGTTAGTCCTTGGTGGAATTGACACGAGCTCAGTCTTGCCATGGTATCCATATGCCCCCCAAAGCATAACTGATCCACCTCCTGAAAATCAATGAATTTATTTTTATCTGTACTTTGATAAATGAGTTCATATGCATGTATATTGCTTTTTACTTTACATATTACACATACCAGCTTGCCTCTTGGAGAAAATTTCCGGACTCTTTCTCAAATTGTGCCAGTAGTAGGCATACCCGTCTGGACCATCGAGATTGAACTTTTTTTCGTCGCTGAAGACGACTTTCTGCCACTCCTTGTCCCACGTCATGTGTTCTCGAGCAAAGTCCAATCTTGCGTCGCGATGCCTCTGAGTCAACGGGGGCTGTGTTATCTTTTTACGCCACTGGAGGTCCGGGTTGTTGCACAGAGTTCGATGAACTGTGTCCTTTGACACGGAAATGGGCAATTCCCTCGCAATTTCACGAACAGAATATTGGCCTGTTGATGCTAATTGCGCAATTTTCCGTTCGTCTCGCTCAGTGAGAATCTTTGGGCGTCCGATTTGAGCATTTTCGCCACCCTGATGGGTTCTTGAGTTCAGATAATTTGAAATAACGCTTTGAGAACACCCAAGAAAATCTGCAATTTTTTGCTGCGACAAACCTTGGTCTTTTAGGAGCTGAATTTGCCCCAATTTGAAATCGCTCAGAGGCTGACCTTTCGGCATTTGTTTGCACTTTACAACTTAGCAAATTACACTTACGACTCTTAACTTGCCTGCCCAAAATAACACTAGACATTAAAAAATAAAACGCCCATCTTTCTATTTTGAGACACGAATTTATCTTAATTTAATTATTTTATCATAGCTTCCCCATTTTATATCACACGTGGATGAATTTTTGTGTGAATAGTACCAGATAGATTATCTGTACCATACATGCACGGTATCGCTGAGACATGATTCGGTCATTTAATTTTGGTCATTTGTATGATTATCTTTACATTTTGAGACGCACTATATTTATATGTTGAACATTTATTTATTTACCAACTTTAAATGAATACATATGTATGCACTTTGCTATTTATTCTTAACTAGTGATTAATAAATTTTTAAGGAATTACAAATGTAAGGGGTAACAAGTTACACTCCCCCCACGGAGGTCGTCAATACGTCGAATGGTATCTACTTAATTGAAATCGAACACGCTAAATCTCGACACGGGTATTTCCCTTAACGCCACAAAATCCAATTTATTTCTTCGAGATTGATCACCAAACTGGAAACGATAGAAATATTTAAATACTACTCATTCTTACAAAACTGATGGTTTACTCAATTTCTTACAGGTAGTGTGTAAGAAATTGATTAAACTAGACGATTTCCATCAGCTATCGCCGGTAAAAAACATCTTATTTAATTTTCCGGTATTCAGAATATATATACTTTGTGGGGTGTGGGACCACCCACTGATTATTTAGAAACAGAGAAATATAATTGAGTTTTCATCAATCTACTGCTATATTAGCTCTGTATCTGCTCCTGTGTTAACGTCTGTATACCTGGAAAATCGAAAATAAATAATGCTCTTCGGTCTTGAGAAAATTAGGGGGTGGTCCCAGACCCTACAAAGTATACATATTCTGAATCCTCCCGCCAAGACCTTTCCAATGGTACCCCATTTAGGGGGCTACGTGAGACTTGGCCTATTGACCTTTTCCGTTAATGTGCAAAATTTGTTGACCTTGGAAAAAATTGAAAATTTTTGACGAATCTGTAAATACAATCCATTCAGATCAGTTTTTAACAAATATTAAGAAAATCTATCCAGGATTGAAGAAATGGGAGCTATTTCAAGAATGGTGATGGATGAGTCAACTTTGTAAGTTGACCTCATGTCATTTTCAGGTCATGGAATACGAATTGGGCCTAGAGCTTCAGAAAGACTCTTAAGCATGCCCTGGGGATTTTCCATGCGAAGTTTGCCCGCGCTGGGCCTTTTGGTTGCTTCACAATCAAGGGAGAAAGTTGACAAGTTTTGTCGAAAAAGGTAGTGCTTTCGCCCATGCCATTACACGTAGGGGGTCACGGAAATTTTAAAAACTGACTAAATCGAATAGTTCAAACCCGGTGAACAGGTTTTTGTAAAATACCGGAAAATTAAATAAGATGTTTGTTAAAGGCGATAGCTGATGGAAATCGTCACTATCGGTTTTTAAAACTTACATAAAGACCAAGAATGTTGACCTGACCCGTTCCTGTCAACCCCACGAGGAGCCCCTTGACTAGATACGTTGCAACGTCCGTCAAATCATGTCTCGTAAAATTCCGCCCGATTGTCAAATTATTCAGGGCTGAAATTTAAATGCATACATACATATTTACATAGTTTTTCAAATGTCGCTTAAGCATGTGTCCGTCTAACGTTTTGGACACTTTTGACCCTTTGGTTTGTAAACGAAGATGAAACTTGTCGATTAATAAGAAATGGTTTAATTCGAGAGTGAGATAAAAGTCGTCCTGAACTGAACAATGGATGATTCGTGCAAATTCATCGACAATAAATCGACTCCGGAACGATTTCTGTTTTGAACATTCAGTCGGAAACGGAAAATCGAGATAGCCTCCAAGTCCGTTTTACGTCTGAAAAATCACTTTCGCAAAAACCAATCAAAAATTCCATCGATCTGAGTCAAGTCGTAATAACGCATTCGGATCGGGGTAGCATTCTCATATCGTTTCTGATTTCGATTTAATGTTGGCTTCCAAGAGTGGTATTGGATTCGTATTGAGCAATCGTAATGAAGATTTCAATCATTTGCATCCCTGGTCATATTATGCCTTCGCTCCGAGCCCTACCCAGTCTTGCTGAACGCGGGTTGTTGTTCTCAGTTAAGTTCCAACCACGAGATGTGGTGGTTGACACTCGTTGCAAGTTACCAAAATGAGCAATAAAAATGTGACAAATCCATTGTACGTTAAGGTTAAGCTTTATTAATATTTCAATTTAAGTCAGAAACCAAGATGTAAATATGTGATACATTATTGTGGGGAAAAGTTAATCCCATCATCAGGAATAAAAGTTCGCTTAAAGCTTAAATTTTCAAATCAATGTTTGCAAAAAATTCTAGTCTGGGTGATTGGATAACTAATCAACATAATTAATATCACCACACTTTGGCGCAAAATGGACAGTCCTAGGGAACATTCTGCCCATGCACACATCATGCCTTATAAGTCTTGCTTGTTCCAGGTTCACGTAATCCTTTCCAACAAACTTGACAATGTGATCAACCACCACATTTGGTAAAAAAGCCGCAAAAATTTCCTTAGTACTAAAGAAATCGCATACAAGGTCATTTTGCATACCGCAGCTTCGCATACCATTGATCCATCTCCTCTTATTTTCACTCCTTAATCTACCACAAACTCTACTCTCCACCCGATAGTTTTAAAAAACTTACCAATTAAGTGCCTAAGTAAAATGTAGGGGTTCCCGAGTAGAAATCACTTTGTCGAATTCTGCAGTAATCGACAAAAACTCTATGCATAGCGTGTTCCGTATATTTTTTTTTTACATAATACTGCAGCAAATTTGTGTTGCTATAGTTCTGCAGAACCGTCAATGGTATGTGCATATTACGCATAGTTCTGCATAGGATTCTTCAGAAATCGGCCTCCATAAAGCTTTTCTACAGAAATTTGGGCCAATTTAAGCCGTTCAAATTTTTACTCAGGAAATTTGTTAAAGATCTAAAAATTATGAAAGGATCTGGTTGCTTATGACGGATATCTCTTTGAAAAGAATCGTGTTAATGAGAGTAAA